GATGTGGCATAAGTTTATTCTGGTATGTCAGGTTCTGGTTTTTGAGCCATACTTACAGTGATTACTGTTTCATTTAATTTGTGCGGCTGGGACCCAAGCGCCTTTAGTACAGCGTATGAATCACGGAAGTCGACAAAACCGCGACCACTGGGCTTGCTTTCCTTTGAAACATTAACGCCTATGACAATTCCGAATCGTGAGAAGTAATCGTGCAGACTACCCTCATTTGTGCCTTTGGGCAGGGATCCAAGGAAGATTTTGTTTGGATTCATCTTCTGCTTCAAATGCGTCTTAGATCTAAGTGAAAAGATCAAAGATGTGAACGCTGTACGCCGTCGGAAAAGATGATCGTAATTTGCAAAGTGTAAGAACTGTGCCTAAATAAACGACAACACTGGACTGCGCGGGAACTCCGTGCCTTCAACCTTTCTTGGTTAGCATGCCGTAGATAGTATCCAGAGATTGATAATTACCTTGATGGTTTAATGCAAACAGTTATTGAACAATGGAGTAGTATGTTTTCAAGCATTAATTCTGCAGAAACGGTCATAGAATGGACCGTTCTGAGTCACCTTTTGCACTTCTAATACCCGCCGCATATTGTGTGCTGGCTATTAGGGCGTGGTCCGTATCAACTGGGTCAAAACTACTGTTCGATAATTTTAACCCGGTCTGGTACTTATAATTCCCACGGACCAACTACTTTGCCAAACGCCAACAAGGGAGAGAAAGACTGCACGATCGGCCACTGAGAGAATATATTAAAACCAGCAAGTCATTCTCACTAAAAGCCTGTGTGCAATTATGGCATCTCGTTTTGATTGACTGTGAGCTGTCTAATGCGCTCGAAGAGAAAGTCCTAGAAGAGCCTATTAACTTCGCGCAGACATGGACCAATCCGAGCTGAGAAGAGGTCTTTGGCCACAGCCACGGCAGGACGCCGTTGAGCGCACGCTTGTAGTATGCAGCGTGGAAGATACCTGCATGCGCTTTTCTGTGAGATTGATTTATTGTGGGAGCGGGGACGTCCTTTCTGCAGTTTTTTCTCTAGCTGCGGGCTATGGGCTATGGCCCTCCACCCCAACAGAAGCTATTGCCACCGCTTTTGTCATACAGCCCCACTGTCCACGGCATAGTTCTTTCAATTCACTGCCGGAGCTACTTATCACCTGACGCTAGCCTGACGAGAGCCCAAGCAAATGCACCGCTGCGTCGTTCTTAGACTAACAGCCTTTTCTTCTCAATCTATCCTTTTCCTCATAAGGGTACAAGGTATGTAGTTTAATTTTGATGCAGAGGACCAAAACAAGGATTATTTATACAGTCGCCTTGTGAACAAGGCTTAGGAATGTAATAGTATAATAATATTTACAACGGCTACTGTCAATAAGAAATGCCAGTGTTGTATTCAGTGAGGGTATTTGAGTGGGATATGGTGGGTTGCTGACGCCGATCTACGATATTTGTGAAAGGAGAAACTCTATCAAACACTATTTATTTTAAGATAAAGTTCATGTTTTCAATCTTAATCTGTTTGTGGATGCTTCACATTTACTGACCGGTTTTTGATTGATTCCCGCATTAACTTAGTTGTGCGTATGACTGTACTGAGGGAAATGCGAAAATCGGGGCTTGGGATTCGAAACTGTGAGTGTGACTATATTATAACGATTATAATGCGCGGTTATGACAATTTGATGTATGCCTTTTTTATTTCATAAAGCTTACGATCCCCCACAATCAACCGATGCCTGATGTACGAATCGAAGGTGCAATGGGTGGCTTACCCACACTGCCTTGCCATTTGTGATTTGCTGTGCGTTCGCATCCATGTAACACTTTTATCCTCCCCCAAGAATATTGTGCACTCTATACGACTACAAGATTGAGGTAGCGAGATGGCTACAGGCAAAAAACCTAACCGCGGCAGTCGCATGGACCGCTTCAAGGTCACTCATACCCAACGCCAAGCACAACAGGCCAAACAGTTACATCTGACAACTTCCTACCGTTCTCCCACCTTCTCCTACCCCTATGTATAGTGGTCTGAGGACTGCCTCCCAAATTGTAATTAAACAGCGTGTAATATATTCGCAGTGTACCTTTCTGCGGTGGCTGGGCAGGAACGAACCAAGGTATGCTCTTAGCGTTCGTTGCCTACGAACTCTTCTTCTTTACCAAAGCATCATTCTCCATCACTCCTAACCACGACACCTTCCACTCTATCAACAATGGTTGCGAAAATATAAATGTTGGCATATCAGCCTTATTATTATCATTCCTTCTGATCAAATTGTAGAAAATGTACTTTGAGTTTGCTTGGTGTTTCAGTGTGGCGAATTCTTGAAACGTTTAAACAGCATCTGTGAGATGCTTCAGGTTTTACTATATATATTATATAAATGCTGTTGAGTAAGGCCGGGCTTTACAACTTAAACAATGATCGTCCACTTGTCTTTATCGCAACTAGCTTTTTTGATATATCCTATGCTTACCCAGTGTTTTTAGGTCTTGGCTCCTCTCCGCAAGACACGGTGATAGGTTTTCTTTGTAATTTGTGTGGCTGAGACTCCATCACCTTCGGTACCGCGCTCGGGTCACGGAAGACGACGAAACCACGACCGAGGCAAATAAAGTGTGTCAGTATGCGAACGTCTGTAACAGCCCCAAATTTGGAGAAATGTGTAAATAGCTTCTTCTCAGTTACCGTTTGGGGCAGGGATTTGAGGTAGATTCTGTTGGAGTTCATCATGTCCTTCACTTCCTTTTCAGATCTAGATGGAAGCATGATAAATTTCATGGTCGTTCAATATTCGAGAAGGTTGGTGTTCTTTATAGAGATTGGGTCATCATGGTTTCATAAATCAACATTCTCTTTGTTCGATCAAAGAAATGAGTACGGACTTGAAAGTCACGTGACAATGACACTTAGTGTGCAAGATAAGCCCACACTACAGCGGCAGTCGGCGTCAGAGGCTTTTCAGACTGTTGCTCAGATTGGAAGAGTAAACATTTCAGAAGTCTTACCCACCCTCTTCAAACTCTTTTCCCTAATATTTGACTGTCTAGTGACAAATATCTTCTTTGTCTCATGGCGTCGATCGAGAATATAAAATATATTAGATAGGCGCCTGCCCATCGTTTACGGAACGCACTCGTCCCATTGTGCCCCGGGGTTCTCTCTTGAACACCGCAAGCCGCCGCTGAACATCTAGCATATTACAGGCAGAACTACATTACCAAGCAAGACAAGGGAAGCTAGAAAGGCCAATTTTTGCTTATAAGCCGTCGCTAGCCAGCCACACCCAATCCCGGGTGGTGTACTGTCGCGAAATATTTGTCAGATGTAAATCGTCCTAAAATCTAGTTATAGGCTTGTTAGCCCTTCGGTTGTGATTGAGTACTGGGAACAGTAAAGTTAGTCGTCTGCACAATATATTCCTACCCCTAGTCCTGTGGTTACTTAAAATTTCATTTGCTTTATTTTGGTTTAATTCATTATATAGTTTATGAGTTTAATTTTAGGTATATTAATTTTCTATTTTACTTAAATACCGCCTAAGTTAGATAAATATACTTAAATAACTACTATATACCAAACTAAACCAAGGTCAATTGAACCCAACGGCAAAATTATCATGTGCCAAGGTACTTAGATATTACTAGCGCCATCACTGTGCATTGGGTGACCGGTGGTAACGGGGTTTTATGGGAGGGGAAATATGATAGGAAATAAATTTATCGGAAAAAGTGTAAAGATGGTAGAATTTGATTAAAAAAATTTAACGCGACCGCTTTATACAGTAATGGCGTAGGGCGCGTAATCGAAATAATAACGCTTAATAGATAACGGAAAATTCATTAAACTAATGAACGTATAATTGTGACAAGTCAGTGAGGAGACGGATTAATAACCAATGAAGAGCGAGGGTAGTCGGTGTGCCGTAGGATAAGTTTGTCTGCCAGAAAACACAAAATGCCGGATCAAAATGTAAGGCGGAAAGCCAGTGGAACATGGAGCATATATGCATATGCGGATGATTAAAAATGCACTACGTATCAGTAATATAAGAAAATAATTCAATTCACCGAGATTATTGTTTTTATTTAATGAGTTAATAAGTAAGCGGAAGAAACTAATTTTGAGGAAATTCTTTTATACGTATCTCTTTCGAATTGTAGATTAATGGCGATAGGGCAAGCAGAGAAACATGGATGTCAAAAAGCAAGCGAATGAACACTGTAAATAATGGGACATATAGGTATCTTCGGGGTAAAATCTAAGTGAGGTGTGCGGGCAAAGGTATTTGAAGTTATAACCAGTGTCTCTATATGCCTTTATTTAAAAATGTAGACTAACACTTGCGCGTAGGAAGGGGAGGCATCAAACTCAAATCGAACCGATGACGAAACAGTAAACACGTCTAACGAGGTGCGAGAATATTGTTAAGAAAATGCACTGCTGCCCTATGCGCGGAAATTTTGATGCGCTGAGGGAATATGAATCGGCAGAGACTGAGTGAACAATCGGATGGATTACTTATCAGTTTCAGTCGTTGTAAATTGAGGACGAAGGTTATAGGTGGCTTAGTATTCGAAAACAGCCGTCTAACCAAAAGGAGGACATTAGAGATTTGGCTCTCGTTGCTGGGGGCTAAACGATTTTTTTAAATTCGCACGATGCAGTGCCAACCAAAACCTAATAAAGCTTTTAAGAGCAGATTGAAGAACAAACTTCAGAAAAGAGCACCTTCTCGAGATCGAGCAATTTTTGAATCCAATACCGCCTATGCTTCGGTCTGTATACGAAAGACACTAGGGATGCGTGGCAGTTGTCTTTTCTCACATGTAGCCCGGACATTTCCTTTTTAGCGCTGCTTTGTAATACTTTAATTTTTATAGGGGTTTTTATAATTCGTAGTTTTGTTGTGTATCATGTTGTGTGCGTAGGGAAAGCTGCCCACTTAACTAAAACCAGAAGTAATACCACCGGTCCCGCTAGGATGATCCTCAACGTGTCGTTGT